GCGATACAAATATAATGAAGCATAATATGTTTTCATATTAAAATAAAATGCATTTGTAAAGATAGTAAAGAAATACAAAACTTACAAATTGTGTCACTGCTTCATCTGACGTTTTCAGTACTGTGTCAAATTCTTTTATGCCTTCTACTATTTTCATTGGTAAAAACGGTGCGATGAGATCATCATTACTTTCAAGAGGGCTTTTTGCACGTCGTTTCATGGCATCTTCTATTTTACCTAAACGTTTGTTAATATTTCTCAATGTAATATGTACATTGTATGCTGCTTGCATACGTAACATTTGCTCGAAGGTTTCTACAATATGAGCGAGAATGTTTTTTTTATATAAAACTGTTCATATACCTTACATTTACAAAATGCTAATATAAAAAATAATAATTATAAAAAATAATAATTTACCTTTTATGTTAATACTTTGCAAGATTTCCGTTGATTGGGGATATCCTAAACAATTATAATAAAATTAATGCTCAGTATATTATACATAATGTTTATTTAAAAAAATTTATGTACCTTCTACTACAATGGGTACATTATTTATATCACTATATTGCTCCTCACATGTTAATACCAAAGGATCATTCTCCGTTTCTGTAAATATATTAACAAGATATTTTAGATAATGTGTGACCAATAAACTGGTTTTGTGTAACACAGTGTATGTAGGTTGCTTTCCAACAAAAGACACAAGTTGACACAAATATCATTCTATCTTTGTTCCATATTTAGTGAGTAACAAAGATAAGATGATACTTGTATTGATAAGATGACTTTGTCTCTTGTTGGAAAGCAACCATAGCTGGAAAGCACCTACTGATAAGGCTCTGATGATTTAATACAATATTACAACATAATACAAAAATTGTAGTTATTTTTCATAATTCAGACCAATGAGACATAAATAATACTTTTATAAAGTCATAAATATTATTGTGCACAAGCACTCCAACGAGATGTCAAAACTTATGTTAAAAACAAACTCTTAATAAATTTAATTTTTATTAATTAAAAAATAGTCTCGTAGATGAAGGAAGAGTCTGTGTGTATTAAGAGGTTACATGGTTAATCTGTTAAAGATTTTAAGATTAAGTTGCATAAAAATTTATACTCACCGACGAAAAGGTTATCCAATTTTATTTTGTAAGTTGCAAAACTCATTCGTCTTGTGCAATAAGAAAATGTTCCCCAATGAGAGGATTCTCTCATCAAACAAGACTGATGAGATTCGAAATTTACAAGAAAACATAAGGCAACTTTTTCGACAGAAAGTGTACAATAGTAATAGACATGTACAACAATAATTTTAGAATTATTTAGTATAAATTATACTTATTAAATAAGAACAAATTACCTGAAATTATAACAATCGTTTCTATATTATTTTATTCACGTGTCATAAAACCATGAGGGAGAAGAATGTAAACCGCATTATTACACGTCACGTTAGATGCGTTCGGGGAGCTTGCTATTAGTGCTACCGTGTCATTCTATCCTTGTTGTATATCTAAGGAGCGATAAAGATAGAACAACGCGGTAACGATGGTAGCGTGCTCCCCGAACGCACCCGTTATCTGGATGAATGTTGGTTCAGCCACAATAGACCGCGTAATTCAAAAGTTTAAATCCTTATCCTCTTAAAGAATATCTTAATCAATTTAATCCTGATATAAGAAATATAATATTCAAAATTTATCTACTTGTTTCATCATTAATCTACTTACCGGCTTTTAATACTTACCGGCTTACAAATTAATTCTGTACAATTAACAATAAGTGGCATATAACAATGCAATGTAACTATGTTAAAATAGTTATATATTGCATATGAAAATTGTAACATTACATCAAAATTACATAAATGTAATATTTCTTGTGTAACATGTTACATCCAAGTTACATTAATGTAATTTTCTTATAACCAGAAAGTAACTAACAATATAACAATTTCATTTACATGTTATATTGCATTAATAAAATAAAGATATTGTATAACCTCGACATTAATTAAATATAACATTCGTTATATTACGTGTTACTCCTGTATTACGTTGCAGTTACATTTTGTGTTTGCTGGGCATCCATGTCCTGACCGCATTAAACTATTGCTTAACTTGACGATCGAGCGCGCACGCGGTGACTCTGATGACTCCAACGATGTTCTTACAATTCATGCTTATATAATGTATCCTTATAGTATTCACAGTATATTATAACATATCTAGCAAACACCAAATAATAGTTATATAATTTTTATTTGTTGTTTATTGGATAATTTGTTGATAGATATTGAAACAATGCAACATTCGATATGCGATGAATATTGATGTAATGTAGTGAACCAGTGATAATTACTTTTACATTTTTAACAAAATGTTATAATGATTAATCCAACAAAAAAAAAATTAAAAAATCCAAGAAAATCCAAATTAAACAAATCGAATTACTAAATTTTGAGAGAAACTTTTAAAAAATATTAAAACAATAGTGTTGTTTCATCAAATGACATGGTTTCCTTGAACGAAATAAAAGTTTTATTTTCATTATTTTAAAAAATGATTTCCTTTAAGAATATAATATTTTAATGAAATAAAAAAATACCACAAAATTAACCCTTACCGTGTAACGTCGGGTCACTCGTGCCCTGGCAAAAGTGACTGTCCCCTGTAGCTCGAAGGGGGGTAGGAGGGGCGGGACCAAACTATACTGAAAAAAATTGTATACTACTAAGCTACTAGCTCCCCAAGCGCCAACGATCTAGTGTGTAAACAGCAGTCGTGAGAGCCAACCAAAATTTTAAAAGTGCACAAGTGACCCGACGTTACATGTTACGTTGATTTAAAATTGCAGGTGAGTAAAATGTTTATTTTAATTTGGATGTTTTTTTTACTAAAAATTTATGTGTTTTCATTAGAAATTGATAAATTAATCTTAGTTATCTATAAATATTAATCTATTAGAGTTTCCTAACCTAACTTTTAAGTAAACACTTAAGTGTTCTGTTTTCAAATTTTGATGTGTTTTTATTATTATTGTAAATTGAATTATTATTGTAATCAAAGTTTATGTGATTGTGATAAGAATTTCAATTTTATTTCTCAGATTTAATGTCGCAAAGAACAGATGCTGAAATTAGTCACGTTTTACGTGAACGAGATCACGAAGTTGATTACGGCGGCGATGCTACTGATTTCGAGGAAGATGAGGATTATGTCGAGGATATGGAGTCTAGCGGCACTGAAGTTTCTTGTAACGAGGCCGACTCTGATGATGATGTAGATGAGGAAGAAGAGAAGGAGGAAGAAGAGCAAGCACCTCAGCAAAGAAAGCGCAGATTTGCCCACGGCAAGGACAAGTTCAAGTGGAGTCTTGATGCTCCGGAGGCACGTGGTCGACATTCGAGAGCATCTCTAACGGTGCATTTGCATGCAGCTAAAGGCAACAGCTTAAATGCAACAAACCCATACGAATCTTGGAATGCGCTATTTTCGGACAACATGTTGGATCTAATTTTGAAACGCAGAAATTGAAAAATATAAAACTACTCACGTGATTGAAGCCGCTAATTCAGCAACGTTTTCTAATTTGTCGTTAAACGAATTAAAAGCGTACCTAGGTTTGTTGTATTATCAAGGACTAAATAAAAATAATCACGTGCTTCTTGAGAATTTGTGGTCCGATGAATTTGGCACAAACTTATATAAAACAGTGATGTCGGTGAGGCGTTTCAAATTTTATACCATAGCGGGCAGGCTTCGACTTTATGTATACGCGAGCTGAAAACTTTCCTCGGAATCCCAGTAACTGTTCATCTGTAGTAACATTGTCGCATGAGGTGTAATTACTTATACAATTTCTGATGAAAAGATCCCACAGTTCGCGTATGTGAGCCAGCAAATCGCTCGCGCGTCGTTCATCGGAGCTCGGCTTCGATTCGATGATAAAACCACACGACGTGAACGACGCGCGAGCGATTTGTTGGCTCCCATACGCGAACTGTGGGATCTTTTCATCAGAAATTGTATAAGTAATTACACCTCATGCGACAATGTTACTACAGATGAACAGTTACTGGGATTCCGAGGAAAGTTTTCAGCTCGCGTATACATAAAGTCGAAGCCTGCCCGCTATGGTATAAAAGTTTTATCGTTAAATGACTCGAGGACTTTTTACATGTTGAATGTGATTCCCTACACTGGTCGAGTTACTCCAGAGCGAGCCGAATCGGTACCAACATACTTCGTACGACGTCTATCTGAGCCGATACATGGTACTGGAAGAGTTATCACTTGTGACAATTGGTTTTCTTCTGTAGAATGCTTTCAAAAGATGTGTGACACTTATAATTTGAAGATGATCGGTACTTTGAGAAAAAATAAACGACAGGTGCCTGATACATTCAAGCGCACTGCTTCGGCTGGTACCATGAGAGTAGGTTACTCTGGTCAATTCTCCTTGACGTCCTATTGTCCGAAAAAAAACAAAATCGTGCTCTTGTTATCGTCGGTGCACAAATCGGTCAAAATGGACAGTGATAAATCGAAACCAGAGACTATTTTATATTACAACAAAAATAAAGGTGGGACAGATGTTTTCGACCAGATGTGCGGTAATTATTCGTGTGCACGAAAAACATCACGATGGCCGTTGCGTTTATTCTTTGGTATTATCGATCAAGCTGGAGTCAATGCCTGCATTTTATGGAATTTACTAGCTAATCACGATGTTTTGAATCGCAGCGCTTTTTTGGCTAAATTAAGTCTTGCTTTGATAAAGCCTCATTTGAATGATCGGATACAGCTAACACGACTGCCTAAAGCAACGAAGTCGAACATTCGGATTATCTTGGGAGAAAACGACGTTATAAATAATACTCTTCAGCCGACTAAAATGGATAAAAGAAAGCGCTGTGCTGTCTGCGATTCCAATAAGGATAAAAAAACGTTGCTTTGCTGTGCCAAATGCCGAATGCCTGTGTGTGAAGAGCACAGATACGAGTTATGTTTTGACTGTGCGCAATAATTTAGCCTCGATATTACTATAATTTTTTCATACTTTTGTATTTTTTTATAATTTTGTAATAAATAATTGTATTTGATGTCATTTTCATAAATAAAATTGATTAAAAATGAATAAAATGTGTATTTTACTGTAATTTGTACCTATTTACGTACTTTCAAAAAACGTGATTTTGATGCTCAAAACTTAAGCATCCCATTAATTTATACATACTTCTACTACTTTTCTCTTTAAAGTACTATTTTTAAGCTTTAATTTCCCGTTCGAATTTTTAAAATGCATTAATTTTTGACAAAGTTACGATTTTTTGAAAAAAAAATATTTTTCACGTTTTTATTTGTTTATATAAATATATTGTTTAAACAAATGAAAAAATCGGGAATATATCGATTGATCCTTAAAGTAGGATAGTTAATAAGGTAACATGAATTTTTTCAGATTTTTTAGAACACTTTAATGTACTTTTTTAAGCATCGGACACGAGATACCTGACGTTACACGTTTAAGGTGCCAGAAAAGACGTTACACAGTAAGGGTTAAACAAGTACGAATATTAAATCTAGAGAAAGTATTTTCTCCGAAAAAACGGTATAAGAAGTACAAAAAATATGCAATAAGACGAATTAATGATTGCCATTAACGAGTGCTATTCTAAATACTATTCTATAAGTATTATTGATGTAAAACATTACTGAATTTGAAATACAAGTAACTAGTAAAATAACTAGTAAATAAATAAAATATATTATATTCGTAATATTTTTTTAAATATTACTGCAATATTGCTAAAGTAATATTGCAAATTAATGTCACTGCAAAGTCTCTGCAACATTGTACTGCAATATGCAATCTTGCAACGTTGTAGCAATGTTGCTGCAAGCTTCTGTGCTGTATGGGCATTGCTGAGATTCGAGCCTGAGACCTCTCTCAGGTAGCAGACACGTCAAAATGACATCCAAATCTAAGTAAGTTCAGGATAAAAAATAACCAAGGAATGATAAAAAATATCGTGAGAATATCGTCAAAATGGTAGTCTAATGTCACAGATCGATGACGACATTTTAGACGACTTAATGACGTTTTATGACGTCTCTAAACGTCAATAATACGTTTTTAAGACATTATACAGAAACGTCATTAAGATGTCACAAAAAAAGACGTTTTAAAGACGTTGTTATTTAGTCACTTGACGTCATTTGACTAGTTATGACCAGTTTTTTACGTCATTTTGGCGTGAGTCTGTTACTTGGGTTGATTCTTGTGTCGTTCACCTTACCTACTGCGTCACTGTCACTTTGATTGAGAGACGCTTTATATTGTGTATATACATATGGTATATCCATATATAAAAGTATATGATTTATTTAAAAGAAGAGAATAGATTCTTTTAAAATATATGTTTTAAAAAGTATGTAGAAAGTATATTTAAGAAATATTTACATGTTTTAAAAGTAAGTAAAATAAATTATTTTGTAAATTTAAATAAATTTTTTTCTGATAATAAAAGAAACTTTAATTTAAAACATAAAAAAATACTTTTAATATTAGAAAATAATTTATTCAGATTTATAAAATGATTTACTTGTATTTTATTTACTTTTAAAACAAGCAAATATTTATTTAAACATTTTTAACATTTAAAAACTAATTTTCTCATTGTAAAAAAATCATTTGTTTATTCTTATATATATAGATATTTTAAATCAAAGAAATCACTTTTTTTATTTGTAAA